AGATTTGTTGGTATGCGGTAGAAGACTTTGAAAGCCTGGTTCACATCAGTCTTGAGTTCTGCATCCACAAGATGAGATAGAATATCACTACGAATAGATTTTGTTTGTCGCTTACTTAACCACGCATGATGACGTTCGGAAATCCGATGAGAAACATGCCTAGTTGTATGGACTACATAACTGGCTCCACAGGAGTAGTTGAATTGGTAGATACACATGAAAGAGGCGAAATTAGGCAGTTTATCTTTCACTCCCGAATGGAAAATAGGGATGGGTGGTTTTGAAGACACAGCGTAATCCAGCAGCAATGAATGCTCTTTTCACCGCCTTCATATTGCGTTGTGTTTGTATCTCGCTGATGTTGTCCCCGAGGAACTGATTTTGTAGGAATAAGGCCTTTTTAGGAACTATTGGTACCTTGGACTGCTCATCAATAAACTTTTCTGGATAACCATTTTCACTTAGCAACCATTTAATATTATTAGGTTCCTCATCAGGACATTCATCTCAGCAAATTGCTCTTGCTCTGTGAACCAAGCACTTTATCAGATTGCATTTGTATTTTGAAGACACGAAGCTGAAAAAGTGAGTATACTGACCAGTTGATGTAGGTTTTCTACATACACTTCTTCTTATTGTGCCATCCTCTTTCCCGGTCATAAGTACGTCTAGAAATGAAATAACAGAGTGTTTTTCTTTCTCAATAGTAAAATTTTTGCAGGATGAACGTCGTTAAACTTATCCAGTATGTTCTTAGCTTCCTTCTCATTTTACATAATCAAGAATGTTTCATCCATGTACTGACAACAAAATTCAAGTTCATGAATAACATCTCTAAAAGCTCATTTTCTAGTTTCGCGAGGAAAATGTCATCTAGAATGGATCCTAGTGGTAACCCCATCGCCACACGATTGATTTGTCGATATAGTTCCTTATTAAATACAAAGTGGACATTCATTGTGCACTGCACTAATATTGACCACATTAGAAAAACGTAACTGATAAAATTTAAATTGTATTAAACTAAGGACTAGACACATGAAAATAGTTACTACATATAATCCAATGAAACCATCTAATTTATCATGCTAATCAGGAATATAATTAATGTTGGACTATTTAATCTCATGCGTCAGTGGCATAGTGGTGGTTAGGACGCTCACCGACCATACACATGGTTCGACGTTTGATCCCGGCCACCAAAGCACACCAAGCCACTAGCTTGAAGCCCTATTTTCCACTGGGGAACGTGAAGGAAAAAACGAAAAAATTTAATCTCATAATGCTTACAGATTACATCACAATCTGTATTATTCTTCAATTCCCTGTTATTTACACTATGTCATTTGATCAGTGAAATTCCATCCGGTTTTCGGCTTGTTTAGTTACATAACACTTTCAACACAATACATGTTTCTATTATTGTCTAATGCGTTCGAAGATAAACAACACATGACGACCCTTGAAGTTATTCATATTTCTTGGAATTCAGTTAAGATCCTGGAATCTGATTGTGTTGACCTTATTTTAAGTCTCTTTACCTTCGAAAGGAAGAAAATATGAAAGCTTGCTGTCATTTATGGAAATTATTATATTATTATTGCTCCCTTGGGTTCCTAGTGGAACATAGGGCTTCAACTGCACGTCTCCACTTGCCACTTCTGTCTTCCTTCTGCTGTACTTTTCACCCGCATCTATCCATGTTAGTCCATACTCTTTCAACTCCTCTCTCTTCACACGACCTCCTCCATGTCACCCTTGCACTGATGTCCCACTCGTCGCTTCTCTTTCGGCCTGGTTCCACTCCAGAAATGGCCTGACACGCGCGCGATGTCACCCGGTGGCCTCCTCAGTGAGTGAGTGTCCAATCCATCTCAATCCACTTTCTCCTGCATATTTGTTGGTTGGCGATTGGTTCTTGTTTTGTTTGTTAGTGCCCATAGGTTCTTGTTGGTGATTCTTTCCGACCCGACCATCTGATCTTCAGTATATATCCAGCGAAGACAGTTGTTGATAAAGGTCTGCAACAAGCTGTTGGTTGGACATGTTCTTTGTGACCCTCCCGCCAAGTTTTTGATCCGTATAGAAGAACTGACTGACTTGATGTTCTTTGTATTGAAAATCCGGCCGAATTTTTTGTTGATGCTGAACTAGTTAACACAAAATACAACAGAGAATTGAAGATGTTCTGGCGAAGCCCAATGTTCCACTCGAAACCCTTCCCCCTCCATCCCACAAGCCCCCAAATAAAATGAAGTACAATTTAAAAAGTATATATTCCTAAAAAGTTCGATGATTATGATGTTTCACTTATATCCTATAACTGGGGGATCTATGCAGTGACAATAATAACCTATGCTTCTGAACACTGACGTCAAAGAAAACTACATTATTACTTAACATAATTTACAACTGAAAAAAAGTGATTAGATATCTGTTATGCATTATTCATCATAATGGCATAAAATTGGTTAAGAGAAGTGAAGACCAATCAGTGCATGTGTGTATTTGAATTTATGTGTTTTTTTTTTGAAGTTTAATTAAGGTGTAATACGCCTCCAAAATATGCTAAAATGAAAATGTGATTTTTTGATTGTTTGTTTGTTTGAGCATTCATTCACCTGCTGTTAAGTTTAACGCATACAAAGAAAAATGTGACTTAGTGGGTGTTGTTATACATTTTTTGTTTAATGTTCACAAGACATTAAACTAAAATACGTAATAAATACACTGGATCAGTGATACTTACATCGACATTTTGTATAATGTTTTATTAAAATACTTTTAGAAATTTTCATGCATACATTTACTCCAATTAAAAACAAATGTAGAATGTTTCCAAAGCATTTTTTAGTGAATGATGATATGTTTCAATATTAATAGTCACCCTACACTTATTGAATTTGATAAGTAATCATTAATATTCTTCGTGCTTGGTCGAATAGCTTGTGAGTGATGTAAGCATCTTCAAGAATGTTATCAACCTTCTCGTTGAAACTACTTGAATCTTGAATAAAAATAAAAATTTATTTGAAGCGTTGGGTTTCTGTCGTAGATCATAGGTGTTTGTCCAATCGTAAAGCGGGGTTTTATTTAGTGTTCAGCAAAGAAGAGAAATCAATTAATAAGGTCATGAAGCTGGATCGGTTCAGGCGTCTAACACACGTGTTACGTATATTAGATGGTTGGAGGTAATCGGCCACAGGAAGCCTTGGACCTAGGTTTCGTGCTAGTTGGCGCTCACTAGTCAGCAAGGCGTATCTGCAACCTTGAAGGGACTCATATCCCTTCCGAGATTCGAACCCACGTCACCCAGTGAGAGCTGCAGTCAGAGACGTTACCACTGAGCTATTCGAGCTCGCGATTCACCTCCTGCAGGACTGTAGTGGATATTTTGATTTGACACTAGTAACTAGTGTGATGTATCTAGTTCTCTAGTCCAAGACTTCCTGCCGATAACCTCCAACCATCTAATATCATCAAATCAATGTGCACCGTGATGGCGAGCTACCTAGGAGGGTGGCCACATTACAACCTGACTGATAGAATTCGGTCTGCACCAAAGAGAGAGGACTAGACACATCACACTAGTTGCTTGTGTCAAATCAAAATACACGTGTTACGTATGTCAAACCATCGCCTTCCTCATCAATCAATGCTAGTCGACATAGGATTAAGTTTGAAAAAATTCAAATATTGTCAAAACAAATAATGTCATCATTGGTTTGAGTCATACAGAGAAATGTTGACAACCTGGTTAAGAACAAGTTACTTGCAACTAAAGGTGATATGGCTTAAAGTCGTTCTTGAAGAAGCTCGTATATCTCTAGTGTAATAAATCCTCACCACTATCCTCTTTGTGGTCATTCTTTCTGGTATAAATTATCGTGTATTATGAGTGTCTTGCATTTGTTTTTCAGATAGCTTGTAAAGCATGTTAAGTCATTGCATTCCTCGTCTATGAGGTCTTTCTAGCTGTTAGTTTAAGCCATGGATTGTGGATGTAGACTATCTGGTTGGGTTGTTGAGACACTAAGAGCCAATGCTTGGAGATTGTTGGTAAAATAGCTCAATATCTTTGTGAATAGAGCTAATCCATTCACTCTTTATGACCTTTCAGATTCTCTAAATCCCCAATATTCTCTATGTACATTATTCGTCGGCCCGTAAATTTTATATGTCTTTTATTGCTACATTTATATAGAGCTTTTACAAGGTGTGAACACATGGACAGTTATATTATTGTATAAAGTTTAAAGTTTAAAAATATTTTGTTAAGTATCTTTCATTGTAAACCAGTTGAGAATGTAAAATAGATGACGTTTTTAAAAAAAATTAGCGTATCGATGTTTTAGTCTTAGAATGCTCACCAATCCCGCTCAACGTGGTCCGTAATTTATTCCCCGGTTGTCTGTCTTCTAAACCTTGATTATTCATTAGTAACACCGATAGAAAGGGAAGGTTGGACGTGTGTCAATCAACCTCATCCTGTAGAAAACAACACCATGGACACTAAAACTCCAAAGTTCAAACTTGAAGCCCTGTGTTCCATTTAGAATGCATAGAAATCAAATAAAGTAATAATTATTATTTGTTTATAATTTAATTTTAATTTCCCACTGATTGATTAGACCGAGACGTCCTACCTCTTTTGACACGTGGGCTCTTAGTACGGACTCTCAAATGACATCTGAGAATTAATTTGAAGTGTAATTTAGTGGGTGATAATCTGGAGTGGAATCCAGGATGTGCATTTCATCCCATTCAGGAGTCATCATCTGGAGGCACCTACATTCCCCAGGGAGTGATGCTATTCTCACAGAGACTCACTCAAATCCAGAACCTATCATTTCAAACACATATGCTTTACCTACTAGATCACTTGGGCTATGACAGCCAGTGACCTATTGTACAATGTATATCAGTTATCTAATAATTATAGTAATACTTTTCAAATTAATAACATAATAATTACACTTTATTTTTTAAACTATTTCTAGACAATACACAAAATTTGATTGGTTCAAGTAAATTAAGTTCACGTATTCTAGAAGATGCAGCTTTACAGCTATGGACAAGTTTAAATTTGGATAGATTTTATTTCAGTAATGAATTAATACAATTAACTGCAAGATTACAACAAAATATTGCTACAGTTGCTGCTAGTCTAAATCACCATCAACATCAACAGCAACACCAACACCCACATCAATATCAACATCCTGAATACGAACAACATCAGCATCAGTATTATCATCATCATCATCACCACTACCAGGAGAATTGCATTCATAGTATTCAACACCAACACCATCATCAACAACAACAAATACAACCACAACACCAACAAACACATCATCAAAACATGAATAATAATAATAATGATAAATTGGTTAATATTCTACAGTCACCTAGTCCTTATCTACATTCCCCTTTAACATCACCTTCAGTATCCTCGTTGGCAGCTGTTACATCATCTTATAATTCTATTATACATGATAATGTAGAAAAAAATATGAATGGTACTCATAACAGTAATGATAATAACACTAATATTAATAATAATAATTTAAATTATAATAATGAATTTCCACTATCATTGATTAATTACTCAAATGTAACGAAAATTGCTCAACTTGCATCGTCTACAGCAAACTTTTTTAACTCAAATTTAACAGGTTTAACATATTCGAATGATATGTATTTAAAATGTACTAATAATCATAATAATAACGTTAATAATAATAGTAATGGTAGTGTAACCACTACTCCAAGTATCGTTATTAAACCAGATTTGGATGCCACTACTACTAATAATCTTAATAGTAGTAGTAGTACCACTACTATTACTAATACTACACCTGCTAACCCCCCTAATACTTCTACTCCCACTCCTACTATTACTAATACGAATACTATTACTGATTCTGATGTATTTATGAAACAAATTGATGTGGATAATATTAAAAAGGAGAATTTAAACGATTATTCAGTTAACCAAGACACTTATGACACTAAACTTCATTATCTTCATGAAAAACAAGAACATCAACTGTCATCTGATACTGGTGCTTTTGACCCATCTACAGATAAGCAATGCTTATCCAATGAAGTACAAACACAAGAAGGCGAACAAGAACAACCAGAACAGCAACAGCAACAGGATGAAAAGCAAAAGGAGGAAACTTCAATAGAGTTAAATAAACCGAAGCAAACATTATACTCTTGTACAATATGTCGACAAAGTTTTCATTCAAATACTGGTTTAAGACGTCATAATTTGGCATTACATGCAACTAAAGCAATGAGATGTGATCAATGCATAAAAGTTTTCAGGTAAGTTAGTGTATATATAACTGACACTAGTTGTTCTCTCAAGTGATTAGCCAGAAATAATTTGGGTAGTTTAAACTGATTCAGCTCTCTGAAGTTGAGTCCCAAATGAACAAGACGGTTATCAGGTGTTTAGGTGAACATGATCTGGCTAACAAACACTCCTGGTTGATATGAGTATACTCATCTCAGTTAATCAATCAGTAATAAGTAGTTAATTTTGTATTCTATGTGGCATATAGGGCTTCAGTATTTTGAAGTTTTATTAGAAACGGTGTCGTCTTCATTGTCGGGAAGGCTTGCTAGTCCCACATCCGATATTACCTATTGCCCATGCCTACTACTGACCAGTAAACAAGGTGAGATTGCAGAGAGTGTCGGCTGGCAATGGTACCCAGACCATGTGAGTGAATGGCAAAACCATTGCCAATGGACCACCGATGACGTAATGTATTACTGTGGTGAGAGCAGGCTGCTAGCCGATTGGTTGGCACTAATCCACGTTAAGGTCTAGGTCACTAATATGGGCCGTGAGAAAATATGAACAAGCCTGAGTCAACAACCAATCACAGCAAAGTTAACGTGGCAAAATATGATTCGCAGATAGAGAACTCTATTTGTCAAGGAATCCCGAAACAACCAATCAGAAGCCTGCGTTTGTCTACCTAAACAACCAATCAGATGACTGCGCTTGTCTATAATAATGTAGTTGAAAGATGTATAAATACGTGTTGATTTCATAATAAAACGATCTGTTGCCTGGCCCTTGTCTTCTGTTGTTACATTACATTATTATTATTATTATCCCCTTGAGTTCTGAGTGGAACATAAGGCTCCAACAATATATTTCCGCTTTGTCCTATTTTCTGTTGTCCTCTTTAGCTGGGTCCACGATTGTCCATAATCTGTCATCTCCTCCTCTCACAATCTACTCAGTAGCCCACTCTCGCTTCCCATCGTGTTTCACTTGAGGACTGGTCTGGGCGCGGTTACATTCAATGGCCTTCTAAATGTATGCCCGATCCATCTCCATTTTCCTGGTTGGTTTGTTACCAGAGTTCCTTATTGCCAATCCCTTTTCGTGACACGCAATGGAAGTTTCTGACTTGTATGAAAACACTAACTGACTGACTGACTTTACATTCGTGTTGCAAAACCGGATCTTCTTGTTTATACAGATTTCCAAACTGATTTGAAGTTGATGAAGGCGTATATTGTCTTTCTGATTATGGCTAACTGGATAGCTTTAACATCCTCATCCGTATCATCCGCCTGTTGTTGAAGCGATGCTTCCTAGCCGGATAAGTGAAGTCAAGAAGCAACCTCTGTTAAATCTCTCCCATTGATGGTGATTGTTGTTGGCTGTTGTTCCTGTTGCTGTTGGTTGGTTATGTTCATCACTTCCATATTCTCTATGTTTACCCGGAGTCCTGTCTTCGCTGCCTGCATGCCACTTCTACTAGTTTGTTAGTTTACGCATGCAAGTCTTCAAGCCTGTGTGAAATTCGACATAAATCATCCACGCGCAAAATCCAGATCTTCTAGAGTGTTCTTATCGGTCATTGCAGCGTATGCCTTTTACCCTCGCTTCTCAAAGTCTCAGAAATAATCCAGTCCACCAGAATTAGGAATAGCATCAGTAACAGTAGGCAGATAGCTTGTCTTACCCTTGTACTCACCTCAACAGAAGGCTGGGATGGGTTTTCCGTCGTGCATCACCTGACACGTGGCAGGCATTGTCATATAGCCACACAGCTGTTGAATGAGGTTGATAAAGACTTGGACACTGCATGCTGTAGATTTGAAGCAGTTATCAAGTTACTTCTCAGTAAGTGGTGTCTTTCGAAGGCCTTTCGAAGTCAATGAGTTTGAGGTAGAGAGAGAGGGATGTGACTGCCATTCTATGCATAGAAGAGTTGCAATTCGATCAGCACACGATTTACCTTTCCACATAATGTATGTAGTAGCGATGTATTGAATTTTATTTGTTATAATAAACATAAGTTACAGGTTTTTATTAGTCTGTTTTATTCTAGGATATGTCGCATTATATTTATAAAGAGTATTTATTCTTCAGCAACACATATAACTGAAATGTTGCTTTAGAGTGTTGCAAGCTGTTCTTTTTCTACTGAAGTTGAAAAACTCTTCTGTACAAAGTAATTCAGTGTGAGTTCTTACAGAATGCCAATCACCTACATTCATGGTGAAAACACTTGAAAATTCGACTGCAACTTTTCGAAACTAAACTTTAGAGAGAGAAAAAAAACAACATAATTCTTAAGCTCTAGCTTATGCGCTAATAAAAAGAAAGAACCCTTATTCAATTTCTCAACTATTCACAATAAACTCTAATTTTGAATTCTAAATTGATGATCATTTTCATTACCATTAATAATTCAGGTAAAGGAAATGACTACATTAAATATGGATGTTGAATAGTCCTTAGACAGGAGTTAGTTTCATGTGTGTTTAATCTTTGCTATTGATGTTGACTGAATTCTCTCTGTACCACAGAACCAGTTGAGTTTACCAGAAATAGTGTAAGATTTAAAACTTGTGCACCGTGGTGGAGTATAATTTTATTATGGATAAAAATTTATTTTGATAAAGTCTCACAGTGATGTTATACAGTAATATATTTACTGATCACCACGTTTCGCGCACAATTTATTACTGCTCATAATCATACCAAGTTACTCATATAACTTTCTAACTTCATTTATATAATTCCATCATTTATCCCCGATTGACTTGATTGGTAGTAGTATTTTCCATATTTCTGGTAAGAGTGATGAGTCATTCCTATTCCACGTGTTGGTTGTAGACTCGATGAACAAGGATTCAGTAAGGTTAGAATGACTGACCCCGAGAAGATAAGTAATTTAGAAAAAAGCTCAGGAATAGCACTGCATGCGTAAACACACAACTACAAAATAGGGTGGGAGAGGGTTAAAATTTCAAGAAGTAATATAGGTAGGTGGAGAGAGAGGTTGAGGTCGAGTCTACACTCAACAAATGCAATACGAATAACTCATCACTCATACCGAAAATATGGGAAATACTACTACCAATCTAGTCAAGCGATGGAAAATAATGGAATTATATAAACGAAGTTAGACAGTTGTGTGAGTAACTTTATATGATTATGAGCAACAATAAACTGTGCTCGAAACGTCATCAAAATAAAATTTTACCCATAATGGAATTACCATAAATGGCCCTTATTCGGCCCTCACATTCAAAACAAAATTCAGTTTAAGCGAGCTAGGCTTCTAATCCATTTAAAGCTTGACAGTAGTTGAGAATGTTTTATTCCTAATGCCTCTAATCATTCGATTTATCGGATAAAACTTTATATTTCTCTGAATGCCAGCTGTCCTGGAAGAAACCTTGGGGTGAACTGAGTACTAAATGGTTTGGTTAGTCTTTCTCCCCTATACTTCCTTTATATGATCGACCTGCACGTCAGAATCACTAACACCTTCCACCAGAGTTTCCTCTAGGTTCAACTTTTAGAAACATAATCTACCATCTTTGTGTCTTTTGCTTCACCGCGACGGTGTACGCAGCGCAAGGTCAAATGTCTACACCATTGGACAAACCGATAATGTGCCTGCTGATCGCATCTTAGAATTTATTAGCAAAGCTACAGGATCTCACCTCACTCCTTTAGGTTTGGTGACGCACAACGACTCGTACTCACACTAAACCTCATGATTCCAGTTAGTCTAGAAAACTATTCATCTCACTTTTATTTATTTATTCGGTATATTGCACAATGAAACAGTATTATTTACACGTCGGAGCTAACATTTTTTCTTCATCATCTAATTCAAAATTGTTTAGTTTACCTTAAAGGTAAGTTCAAATGATTCGCGCTAACTCGCATATGTGCAAGCAAAAACCAACAATTTGATGGTAGAGGTTACGAAGAGAGGATATGAAGTAATCATAGAGATGACGTAGGTGGTGAAGATACTCTACCAACAACGACAACAAGCACCAGTTACCATCAGCGGTAGCAATCTAAAAGAAGCTATCTCTTCCACTTATCCAGGCAACATCATTTCTATTAAGGATAGCACGGATGAGGATGCCAAAATCACGATCGATAAAGGGAGACAGACACTCATTGCTCTGAAGTCCGTATGGAAATCTACTGCATTCAGCAAAAGGAAAAAGGTCCAGATTTTAAGAAACATTATCAAGTCAGTGATTCTGCGTGGTTCAGACACTTGGCACCCGATTCACCAAAAGCTCCAGCAGGGTGAAAAACTTCATCAATAGGTTCTCACTTCCCTCGATAGTGAAGATCACATAACCTCTTCAAAACGATAAACATTTTAGGGCAATGGCAAAAAACGAACCAAGAACCTATTACCCAACAAAACTGCATACAGAAATCAAGATGGATAAGGCACTCTCTGAGGAGACCATTGAATGACATTTTACCCCAGGTCCTCGGCTGGAACTTGAATGGAAAGCGACGTGTTCGATGTAGGTTAGAGTGTTAAATGTAAGAGATCATATGAAAAGAAAATGAGACCCTACAGGCATTTGTAAATCCACCTAAAAACGTCTACAGAGAACAGGGTGCACTGATAATATACTGCTTGAGTTTTATGTCCAACACAGTATCCAAGGGAGTGATAATGATAATATACGCTGGTCTTGTTATTAGTTTTTTGCACTAAATTAAACCATTGAAACTCACGCAGAAACGGTTTCATTCAGTGTAGAAGGTCTACTATAGACTTCATAACTTTATTCCTGACAGTGTCTATTTATCTCTTAGTTTCTGCATACGGTATTGTTTTCATATGGGTATCAACCTACTCCAAATAGTCTGATTTATCCAATAACAATGTAAAAACGCCTTTATCTGATTTTGAAATCACCCTCTCCTTGCTGTTCCTAAGGTTCCCTTAAGACTTCTCTTTCTGGTTTTCGTAAGTTATATTTCCCCCTCTTATATGTCCTTTTAGTTTTAAAGTAGTCTC